AAAAGCAATCTACTGAAGAATGCTAGTTAACAAGTTAATCCAGGTGGCATTATTAAACATGATGAAGCAGATGCTTAGGAAGTCCTTAAACATCATATTTAAGACATTCTTGTCCCCATTTTCTCCTCTGCAAACCCCAGCAGCTTCAGACTAAATTTGTGCCAAATTTAAAGCAAAATTGTTTCCCTCCTCCATGCCAGAAGGTGCATACACTGTGGGAGGCAGGAATTCAGACTCTCTTGATGTGAAGCATCCCCTCAGTTGTACACCCAGTACAACTACAGAACCTGCATATGCACATTAGATATTTCTTCCACCTCTCACAGAGCTGCGAGTCCTTTTGTAGGAGGCAGCTGAAGTAAGTCTCCAACTGGAAAACCAGCATGAAACTCCAGTGATGAAAGTTTTAAGCTGTTAGATGTTTTAAGTATTAAATGAACAGACAACCAGATGGATTGAGAAGTGGCTGAATAACAGAGCACAGAGTCAGGCTACAAGCCTGTAGCTCACGGTGTTCCTCAGGGGTCAACATATTCATCAGTGGCCTGGATGAAGGGATGGGGGTGACCCTCAGCAAGGTTACTGATGATACTGAGCTGGAAGGAATGGCTGGTACACCAGAAGGCTGTGCTGCCATTCTGCAAGACCTGGATGGGCTGGAGAGCTGGGGGCAGGAAAGGCAAGTGTAGAGTCCTGCACCTGGGGAGGAATAACCTGTATTGCACCAGTACAGGTGAGGGGCTGACCTGGTGGAAAGCAGCTCCACAGAGAAGGACCTGGGAGTCCTGGTGGACAACAAGTTCACTGTGAGCCAGCAGTGTGCCCAAGAAGGCAAATAGTCTCCCCTGGGGTGCATGAAGAAGAGTGTGGCCAGCAGGTCAAGGGAGGTTCTCCTATCCTTCTGCTCTGCCCTAGTTAGGCCACATCTGGAGTATCATGTCAAATTCTGGGCTCCCCAGTTCAAGAGAGACAAGGAACTACTGGAGAGAGTCCAGCAGTGTCTACAAAGATGCTGAGGGGACTGGAGCATCTCTGTGATGTGGAAAAGCTGAAAGCCCTGGGGCTGGTTAACATGAACAAGAGAGCATGGAGAAGGTATCTCATCAATGGTGATCCATGTCTAAAGGGCCCACAGGGGTCAAGAGGCTGGGGACAGACTCTTTTCAGTGGTGCCCAGGGACAGGACACAGGGCAATGGGCACAAACTGGAACAGAAGAAGATCCACCCAATCCTAAGGAAAAACTTTCCTGTGAGGGTGACAGAGCCCTGGAACAGGCTGCCCAGAGAGGTTGTGGTGTCTCCATCTCTAGAAGGATTCCAAATCCAGCAGGATGTGATCCTGGGCAACCTGCTCTAGATGACCCTGCTTTAAGCACAGGGTTGGCCTAGATGGTCTCCAGAGGTTCCTTCCAACCCCTAACATTCTGTGTTTCTATTTTAAGGAGGAAGGGTGATACTTTGCTTAGTATCAGCCTATGATCTAAAAGATATTTATGCATGGAAGAGAGACAGTCCAGCCTGAGCAGCAGTCAGCTCAGTACAACAGCTTTGCACTTCCCTTGTCTAATAACTTAAACAAGGATGGGTGTATTGCTCCAAGAAATTCATGAAGATGTTTTTGCCTTGAAATGTCAGTCATGCAATAACCTCACTCTTCCAGTCAGCTCCCAGTTGTTCTGAGGCCTTACAGGAAAAGCGAATCACTGTTTGTTGTGCTTACCTGGAGCAGCAGCAAAGGAATAAGCATTCAGAATCAGCTTAGCATGCTGCAGATACTTCGCTGCAAAGTCTGACACAAGCTTGACTCAATGCATAGCATTACCCAGATCATTTTTCATTCCCTGCTTTAACAGATGACAATCAGTTTAAGAAGAAACAAGCTGAAAAGCTCTTAAAGACTTCTGCTGGTTTTAATTACACTACTCTGCGCTCTTCAAAAAGAAAAAAAAGTGTAGAGGAAATACAGTGATACTTGAATCTGTCTCAGCCCACTTGCAGAAGGATAATGATATGCTACTTTGTGCCCTATTACTGTCCCAGAAATAATGAAGGCAATAAAATAATGAAACCAATGAAAGATATGGCCAAGGGCAAGGAGCACATTGACAACAGTGTCTCAATTGAATTCTGTGCTGCTTTGAAAGTGGATATATTGCTGACAGTGAATTATGTATGGAAATATGGAACTGCAACTGTTAAGTGCAATTTTTCTTGTGTGAAGAGCTAATATTGCTCAGTGGTGACATCCTTTCATCCTCCTCTTCTACCCGAAGACAAAAAGGGAACCCCCAAACTGAGGATACATATTTAAACCTTTGCTCTCTAATACTTACAGGCCTTACATTTAGCTTAACCTCTGCCAGAAAATTCCACATTACCTCTCTACTGGTATGGATGCTGCATCTGTGTGTATAGACACAAGTAAACAGAAGCACCAGAGAATTATACAAAAGAAGGAAATTGCTTTTTATTAGAGAAACACAGCTTGAAAGTCTACTATAACGGAGGAGTTAACAAGAAATACTCTTTCAAATGAAATACTGTTTTTTGCAAGTATACGATTTTTTTTTAAAAACTGGTATAATTATGTGTAGGCTGTAAATACAGCTTCAGAAGTAACAGTCAAATGCAGCTTACCTGGTAGTAAAAAAAAAAAAAGGCAAATATTTATGCATAGTCAGCATTTCATTAAGTGCTGCACTGAGCTTTGTTTTTTCATATATTTCAGTGAAATTTTTGAACATGAATTGACTTGAAGTGAACAGTTTAGAACATTAAACTATATGCAGATGCCTTCAATATGTTTGCAGTGGCTTTGACAGAAGTAAGCCAGAATATGCACACACTTTTAGAAGTTTATTTGCATCACGTTTAAGGAAAATTATCCAAACAGAAATCAAAAAGACACGAGTAAAGAAAGAAATTATGGAAAATAAAAGCAAAGACCTCTTTTTCTTAGACAAATGTTCCATCAGCAGGAGTCCCATTATTTGTTATAACAATCTTTAACTTGTAATGACTCTGAAGAAGACTAATAACAGACTGGTGGGAACAGATGGAGTGGTGCTGTTAATTATAAGCACTTAGCTGCATCAGACCCTGAGAGTTATTACTAACATTTCCCACTAGGGAGGAGAATCGCTTGCTTTTAAGTAGTATGTTGCTTACTAAGCTGGGAGCATTAGCAGTTAGGATTGTACTAATCAGTACTAACAGCATAAAATAAAATTCAGCTATGAATAAAAAAAGACAATATTTCTTAAATAACCCCCACGCTATTTTTTTTTTTTTTCCTTTTCCAATCACTTTATGAAAGTTCTTCCACAAAGACTTAAACTCGAGTCTCACTAATTAAATCTCCCTGCCACTCTGCTGAAGTTTCTAAGCATCTGACTAGCGAGAAGATGGAATAAAGGAAACCGACCCCAAAACATAAGACAGAAGGTATGCAGACCTCCTGAACCAAGTGAAGAGAGCCTGCCAGGTGATTCACCACCAAAACAGATTATTCAGCCTTAGTTAAACAGGATGTCCCAGCCACCCCTTGCAATTACACAACCCAAACATCACTTCTAGGCCTTCTGAATTTCCTGCTGCATTTCTCCCTCCAAACAAGAAACCATCTCCCTTCTGCTTACCAACAACATGTCTGGAGGTTGTTACGCCCATCTGCTTGCTTAAGCATAAACAGTATCTCTCCATGTTACATATTCAACAAGAAGCTATTCCTGATGGTAAGAGTCACAGTACAAAAATAACACGTTTTCCTTTTGCAGATAGTTATAAGGCCATAAACAGAAGCCACTGCAGCTGTTGCAGGAAACATTTCGGGGGGGACACTAATTCAACAGACCCTTTAGAAAAGGAAAACAAGCATGGACTAAGTCCCCTGACTGTCTGGAAGACAAATGAACACTTTGAAGAAGAGTCCAGGATTCAAAGAGGCTGATGATATACCTTATTTGAAAGACTACTATGCATCTTCTGAAGCTTTCATAAACATTAATGAGTGGAAAATTTAAACCATTAAGGAACCCTTATATTCTGATGTCTAGTCACACAGTCAAAAACTGGAATGAAATGTTGTCTGTGAGTTTTCCATGGATAATTAACTCATTTGTACTTCCTAGCTAAAAGGACTTTGTCATAAAGGTCAAGGGGAAGAAGATGGCTTTTAATATCTGCCTTCACACAGATTTTAAGAAATACATTAGAAAGAATGAATAAAAAGCAGAATTTGGGGTGTAAGTTCACACAACAGCTATACAAAAAAGCACACACTGTAAAAACTAATTACAGATTCCATAAAAGATGACATCAAAACTACTTGCATCTAAGGGGACGCTATGCAAGTCATCTTCCCTTGGAGGTGGCTATTTTAGTTGAAGAGCACTTCAGTCTGCAGGGCTTGCGTGGACAGAAACGACTATCAGAAGATACATATACACTCCATCTGCCTGAGACTGTGATTGCCTAGAGCCTGGCAATTTTCTCAACAAATAGTGGAAAGCACAAACAGGGGTTGTGATCAGCTGACAGCCTAACTTTGGTTAGAAGTTATAACTTTCAACAGGTAAACAGGCAATACCTTACCCTGATCACATACCCCGAGCAAGCATAAGTTTCCTATCAATTTCAATGGAAGCTGCTTCTAAGGAATCCAAGAGATTACTAAATTCCTTCCCTCCTGTCCCAGGATATTTTCCATGACCTTCCAGATTATTCCTAATGTAGCAATGAACAAGTTTACTCCCCACTGATGCTTAGGGTGTGACCTATCCCGTTCTAGTAATGACATGCACATATTTGCCAAGGAAGGAGTAGTTGTATTTAATTAAATATCTCGTCATTCAGGAAATTAAAAAATAAGACCCTCACACTTTACATTCAGCTAGTATTGTGATTAAGGCAGTAGTTGAAAAAAAGCAAATTCTTTCTGGTATTCCATCTACAATTTCTGGTTAAAAAGCCCAAAGAATCCCATATATTTAACACTTACATTCAAACCTGAGGACCCAACATCCAGTCAGAACAGCCATCATACATTTGACAGTACTTGGCATTGGAACATCAGGGATAACAAGATGAGTTACTAGGAAAAAAAGATTACATCAGTAGAACTAAAAGCACATAAAAATGAGAACCATGCCTGGCTGAAAAGCAATCCATCACCATTTAAAGAATAAACAGACTACAATAATTTATCAGCCACGCTTTCCAGCACAAGAATGTGATTTTGGAAAGTAAGATATGAGTAAGTAGAAGCACTATTAGGAATTTTGTGGGTTTCAACATATGCTTGAAAAAAGGAAGTCATATTTTTATAGTTCTAAACTAACCCTAATCTCCAGAGGAGGCTCTGGTTTATAGGACAGTATTTTTTTTTTTCCAGTCCTTTGAAAGTTAAATATAACTCTGACATGAATCTTGCCATGGGATCTTGCTGCTAGCACAAAGCTAGCAGAACTCAGCTCCGAATGCTGGAGTAAGTAATCAGGGTGTGAAAGATGGCAGGGGAAAATTACCTTAGCATTTCTTTCACAAGCAAGAAAATAAGCACTCCAAAGAAAAACTAATAGGAGGGATTAAGAAAAACATTACCTTCCTCAAAAGAGAACAAAAAACCCCCCAAGCCCCATAATTTGGCTCCATCAACTTAATGCAGGACAAAATTTGAAGAAAGGTAGCATGTGAGAATAAATCTGGCAACTTTTAGCCAATGACATGCTCTTTCCAAAGGCACCATCTGCCTAACACTCACTTTTGGAAGATAAAAACCTTTACAGGATGTCTCATATGAGCAGAGACCTTAAAGTCAGTAACAGAAGTGTAAAGAAAAGGACTTGGGGATTTTAAATAACAGACAATATACTGTCCAACTGTGGCTCCCCTAGAAGTCTCCTACCTCAGCACCCAGGCAGGCTTTATATGTGGTTATATGCAACAACATACCATCATTCTACTACAGCTATATACTATGGGGTTTCAGAAGCTGCACTTATGATGAAAAAAAAATCTGTTGCAGCTAGTATCTTAAAGGATAAAGAGTAGAACTATAGCTAGGTATGCTTGGACAGAGATGTTTAACAAGACTACATACCTCTGCTGTTAAATTCAGTACACCTTTGAGCCTTCAGGACTGTCACTAGTTTGTTCAGTAAGTTCTGTTGCTTTGAACTAAGATTGCTCCCCAATATACCAAGAGGTCCATATCTTGTCTGGCTGGGGCTCAGTGCCTGCATGAACAGAAAATCCTGCAATAAGTTGAATGTTTGGGTACAAAAATCAATCAAACAAGTTAGATGCTTTATTTAATAAGAATAAGCATTTTGAAAAACAGTTCATGGCAAGCTTAGTGGACAGGGTCCATAAATAAAATTCTGCCTAAGAAACCAGCTCTAGAGGAAAAAGCTTTGACCTTAGAGGTACTTCATTTAGCTTACCCAAGGTGCCAAACCAGCTTGTGCATCACCTTTTTCCTTCTTGCCTTTATTTTGTTTTAAAAGACACTGGTGTGCCCACATACAGCTGGTTTAATATTGTGTAAAGGGCATGGCTGACTGCCGTGTTGAAGGAGAAAAAATATTTCCCAATCAACTAGTAAAGCCTCCTACTTTTAGTGAATTATTACCAACAGACCCACTATCAATATGTTGAGTAACCTTTATAATTAACACCTGCAATTCATTTAACTAGGAAGTGCCTAATACATTGCCCTGAATGCTTAAGGGTTTTTTTATGCAGGTACTACTCAGGCAAAGAGGAGCTGCTTGCTCAAGTTTTCCACTGACAAGGATGTGATACTTCAGTTCCTGGGTACTCCCCGAAGTACTCCATGATTCCATAAGACAGACACACCTTTGAGACCCAGTTACCTTAAAGCCTCAGGCTTTGGACCAAGCCATCCATAACCATCCCTTGGCACACACTCAACCCAAAGCAAAGGCAAAGACCAAGTGTTTTCTTTGTGAAAGGAGAGCTGCTTCTTATATCTGCTCCAGGTGGGAGGCACAGTCATATCCTTGCCCATTTAGCTGCAAGTTTACTTTTGGCTAATGGGTATCTTATTACCTCAGCGAGGAGGGATCATAACAGACTGTATACCCTGGAGTAGACTAGCTTGTATCAGCCAGGTCAGTTTAATTATCCTTCATTAGGAAGCATAAAGTATTTTGCAATGCAGTAGCTTGTGAAGTCTGAAAAAACCTGATTTAAGTCCTAAGAAGTCTTTGGCAAAAAGAGGAGAAAGCCAAAAACAACCCCCCACCCCCAAACAATTTTCCAAGAGCTGTGTTCAACTGCTGAGCTGGTATCTTCATTGTTGGACAAAGGCTGGTACTGAAAAAGTCTTTTAAAGGCACACAAAAAGCACCTGGAGCAAAGACTGCTGCTGCTTTCAACCACTTTGGCAAATAGAATAAATTCAAATATGCAGAAACCCAGCAACAATAGCAAAGTTCAATCAATGATACTTCAGGAGTAAGACTGTATTCATTCTCTTACAATAAAGCCACAGTACAAAAACAACCTTTGTTTTCCCAGATAAAGCTATAACAGAATATCATAGCTTGTAAGTGGCCCACATATATTCTAGGAATATTGCTCAAGTTAGTTTCCCAGCGTATTTTAAATCTGCCTGTAAAGGCAGGTGACAAACTGTATGTGGGTCTAAGCCTTCAGTACTTACAAGATGAACTTATGGTTTTGTTTTTTTTTTTAAAAAAAAAAAAGCAAAGCAAAACAAAAAAAAAAAAAAAAAAACAAAACCCACACACTTACCTCAGAGGGTTGGTTAAGTGAAAGTGATTCATTCTTCACTGGTAACATCAGCACAGACTTCATCTTTTCACTTTCTGCATAGTCCACAGGCCGCAGACCAAATATATTACTGACAAAACAAGCACAGATGGGTTTAAGTAAATAAAATGTGACTTGATTCTTAACTAACTGGGCACATTAGCTGGGTAGCTTTCCCTCCCACTTTCTTATTAATATGTAATTTCAGCTAAAAACCACAAAGCTTCAAGTAAGAATTGCATCCAAGACAGATGGATACTGAATTACAAGCTGCTGCATTTATCTGAGGAGTAAGGGAAGTTCAGTGCAGTATGTTCAGTTAAATAAAACACAGCCCTTGTTAAACTGTTGGAAGATCCACCTTGATATTGTTCACAAGACCCAGAAATTTCAGCTTTAATCTTTCATCGCAGTCATATAACCAAGAAATGTAGTTTTGGCTTACCCATTTGCCATAAAAGCCATGCCTGAAGATTCTCCATACTGTGTTAAACACTGGGGCTTGATGTGGTTATGCTTGTCTGGAAAAAGCTATCTGCTTCCCACTTAGGAACTGGGGCTGCCTTGCACTTCCAGAATCTGTGTATCACGTTTTCCCTCGCGTGCTGTTCCACAGAACACGTTACAGCAAATTCATTCAGATCTCAGTTGATTTGCTTATGTTGTTGAACGTGGCATCCCTTGTGGCACCTCACAGTTATCAGACGTGCCTCAAGACCCATTTCCTCCCCAATTCTTTTACCACTTCTCAGGCAGATATGACTGGCTACGAACACGACATCAAGCACAGCCGTGGCTCCTATCTCTTCTTCACACAACTTTGCAGCTGCAGGACTGCAGTAAGCAGAGAAAAGCTTAAAACTGCAAAACAGGTATAATTGCCCTTAACAAACAGGATTCTCTGCCAGTATTCTCAGGATATATTCTGCTTGCTTTGCCCTTTGTGAGAATAATGGCTATTCCAGCTGATGCTCTTCTCCCCACCTCATATAGTTCCAGCTCTCAAAAGGCATAATAAGTGCTCATTATGAAGGGGAAGCTTGTCACTGAGAACAAAGCCTTGACTCCATTTCTGATATCAAGCAAGCTTAGTCATCAAACAATGAAACATTTAAAGAGGTCAAAAAACCACCGCATCTTTGAAGAGCTGTCTCTTAGTTAGCTACACATTCCTGTGTGGAGTAGGAATCTCAAAGCTTTATAGGGAATTCCAGATAAGGCCATAACCCAATCCAGCCCAAAGAGAGGCTCAAATCATTAAGGCTACATTCTAACTTCACTGGCCAGTGTAAAGCTGAAAGATGGGTCTGATCTCGGCATCTTTTGATGCTCCCTAGTGAGCACTGCTCACTAATGTAGCCTCTTGGGAAAACAAAAATCAAAAAAAATCCCACACAGAAGATTCTGGGATGGTATTTTCCAATTGCTAATTTTACATCATCAAGCCCAAGCTCTTCTGGGTTGCTAAAAAGCAAAGAGCTAGCATAATACAAATTCTGCAGACTAAAAGATAATTGGCTAAATCTCAGCCCAGTCCTGGGAGTTGCAGCCCATTAAATATTGTCATGCTGCTCCTGCTTTGTCATGTATCATCAGGGTAGCTCTTGCCCTTTCTTTAAATAAAGGCCATATTCAACTCGATCTGCTGCAGGACAGTTCCTTTGAACAAGGCATCAGGGAGTGGGGAACAGTAAAAAATTAGCACACACACGAAAATCACCTTTAGACTAGATGGGTGACCTTTTACTGTGAACTAAACAGGAGGAGGAAATCACTGTTTGTCAGTGGCACAGGTTTGGGAGTGCCTCCCCTCACCCCCAAGTCACAGTAAAATTCTTGAGTGCTGGAAAAAAACTCATTACTGTTTACCATAAATACATATATAGGCCACTATAGTTAAATATAGAACGTTTTTTTGCCAATTAAACTGGACAAATAACCACTGTATCTACCCTCCCTCTGTATTCACTTTTTTCCCTCCCTCCATTTTAAGATCATTCCAGTCTCTTCCTACCAGGGTGCTGCAAAAAGCTATCTCATCATTATGAAGCACTGAAGAATTAATGGCTATTCATAGGATGTTACGGTGGCACCGTTAAAGTAAAATGTGACAAACTTGGGAACTGAGGGCTGAAAAAAAAAAAAAAACAAAACCACCACACCCAAGGGACAGGTTTAAAAGTTTCAAACATTTGCTACAAAGCAGCTTGTTCAGCATAAAGAAAGTGGGGAAAGTAGCTGAAAGGAATAAATAAGGGTTTGCGAAACAGAAACTAAGACAAGGAACACATCCAGACAACAGAATTTGAATATGGTATTGTTTTAATTTACACATCCTTCTCAAAGAAAAAGGATGAAAAGCAGATTTTGGTTTTTTTTTTTTAGACTAAAACTCAATAACCATCCAAGAAGCAAATAACAATCAGAAAGAGACCTTGCCCACTTTCTCAGGCTGGTACATTATCAGTGTAGTTACTTGAGGAACCATTTTTGATGTATTAGAAACATGTATTATTTTTAACCCTATCAAGGACCAGATCTATGTGGCCACAAGAACACCAGTAAGGCATAGAAATGGGGAAAGGAAGCTTTTGGAAAAAAAAAAAGCGTGCTCAAATCTGTCCTTATGCAGCCAAGTTGAAGAGGAGAAACTATTCACCTTGTTCCAAGTAAAACATGACTTTTGATCCACTTTGCAAAACAAAGTCTAGACATGTCCATTAGGTCCACCCTAGCACACAAACAGAGCCTTTTCAGGAATATCAGGAACTCTGTGTGCTCCTGCTGTAGGCTTGGGCTTGTTGAGAATGGGTCCAGTGCACGTGACAGCTTAACAGGACAAGTTCCAGACTGAAGACAGACAATTCTTTCTACAAGAGAGAAATAAGTGTCTCTGGTGCTTAAGCTAGAATGTCAGGTCTCTAAGGCATACTGCTTTCCACCAGAATGCAAGAGGGCTTTTTGCAAGCTGTTTTAAAGATTCAAGATTTGGATGTATCCTTCGATGCAAGCAGCAAGCAGTTTCCTATTAGACAGTCATCGAGGTACCAAATAGTCAGCAGAGGGCTCTTACACCTAGACCAAATTCCAATCAGAGTGGGATGTCTGTGCTGAGAACAAATGAGGAGCCCAGTGAAGAGCAACTTTATGTAATCTCCTGAGTGTGACTTTACGTGAGATGACAGATGATAGCTTAAGGACTGACAGATCAAAGGACTTCTTATGAAAAGCTTTAGAAATGGGATTCAGTTTATGGTTCAACATTGCTGAAGTCTTAGGTATGAAGACAACAGAGGTTACTGCTGTAGTCAAAAAAACTTAGCTACTTCCTAAATGTTTCTGTGAACTTTCAGGAAATAAGCAATCAGAACAGAAAAGATAAATAGGGAGACAAAGCCTTGTCAATTCTTTGGAAGCCCCCAGTTCCACAGCTTTTGATACCAGCAAACAATGACTATATAATACTTTGGCATCAGGAGTTTTAAGCTGCTGCATTTTGACACCAGAAGTTATTTGCTGATCCACAGCTGAGCATAAGCCAAGTTTTACCCCATGAAGAGTTCAGTACTGAATGGAAGTCCTGTGACCAGGTCTCAGTGCAATACTGTAACCACCAATTCTTATATGGAGTAGTATGGGGCTCTCCAGACACCACCCGTGTTCCAAGAGTGTGGTAAGCAGAAATCTTTTTTGAACCTGACAGATGGAAAAGAAAAATTAATCTGTGTAGCCAGAAAGACCATCTTAGATATCCAAACAGGGCCAGGGTTTTAATTA